GAGGTCACACACAGTGACCCCCGCAAGCAGCCCCCGCCCTGGCCCCTCCGCCCCTCACCGCTGAGCGAAGCTTGTTCTGCAACAGCAGGTCCAGGCAGCTCTGGTAGCAGCTCCGGAGCTCGGCCATCTGGTTGGCACTGGGCTCACCGTGGACCATGGGCCCCACCGTGTGGATGACATCTGCGGGTGATGATCAGGTCGGGCCGGGGGAGGACCCTGCCCAGCGTGGGCGCACTAGTGACCCTAGCCCGTGTGTGTGTGTGCCCACACAGCCCCAGGCCTAGGATGGGCCGAATTTGTGCAACACCCCCTCACCCCACCCCTGTGTTGGGGTCTGAACGAGGCACAGGGCGTGCTAGCTTGGTTCTCAGTGGGCCTCCCCACCCGCATCCTGGTGTGTTAGGAGAGCCGGGCTCTGCCATTTAGAAGTGCCCAGTAGGCCCCGTACCCCCAGCCCCACCACGACGACTAGCAGACTCACACTTGGCCGGCAGCCGGTAGCCACCCGTGATTTTGGCCTGGCCGGTCTCACAGTTCTGCAGCGAGCGACACTCCTCAGTCAGCAGCGGCCCTGCGGCCCGATGGATGCAGCCGTCCACTGCGGGGCGGGAGGAGGTTAGCCGTGGGCTTCCCCGCACCCCGAAGGGCGAGGGGCGACTGGCCCCATTTTACAGAGCAGCAGGCTGAGGGCCCAGGCCTGAAAAGGCCCAGACTAGGCCCCCACGGAGCCCCGCCCTCGTTGGCGCGGCTGCAGCCTCTCCCACCCCGTCACCCCGCAACCCTGCGGAGGCTTGGCAGGTTTCGTGGCTGCGGGGAACCAGGCGCGGAGGGTGGCACGGACCCAGGCGGGCAGTGCCGATCCCGGTCGGCAGGGGGCGAGCGCGGCCCGCCGGTTCCTTCCCGGCCGCATAGGGGGCCTTCTCGCGCTCCCCGTGCAGCCCGAGCCCAAGGGAGCCGCTCGCTCGGAGCCTCGGCGCCCACTGATCCCTGCCGGCAGCGAGCTCCGGCACCCGGTCGGATCGGGCCCGCTTTCCAGAGGAGGAAACTGAGGCCACTTGGTTGCAAGTGGCAGATCCGGAGCTGGCACCTGGGCCCGCTGCCCGTGTGCCTGCGTCCCAGCCCAGGTGTCTCTGGGCGCGGCAGCCCAGCTCCTTAACAAGCAACCTCACTAGTGCAGCCACCTTAATTGGGGCCGGGCCTGGACTTGTTTATCCGTATCCAGGGTGTCTCCCAGGCCTCCTGAGGGACCCTGGGGACCAGAGCCCAGAAAAACAAGTCAGGCAAGTCGGAAAGCTAGAAAACAGCAGCCAGGGCTGGAGAGGCTGTTCCCGCAGGTTCCAGGCGACGCTTAGGCAAGTCCTCCGAGTCTGAGGGGAGGAGCCCCAGTCCCAATCAGACCACTGCATCTCCTGGCTCGCACCCACCATGGCTGGGCAGCCAGCAAGGACAGCATTTCCCCACGGCTGAGAGGCACAAACTGAGGCCCTGTCTCCGGCAGCATCCCCCCTTCCAATGCCTTGGCACAGGCACATGGCTCATGGCTCACCCTCCCTCCATTCCACCCTTTGCTCTTGGGGCTGGTCGGTCCCATTAGCCCTCATTTCATGACTCACTCCCAAACATCCCAGGGAGGGCTAAGGTATCAAGGGACAGAGGGGCCCTGGGACTGGCTCCCTCCCAGCGCCGTCTCCTACTTCAGTCCACAGGCAGAGAAGGTTGGTGCACAGATCAGTGCCCAAGGTGTCTGTCCTGGGTGGGGCTGACCAGTGACCATCGGCGTTGACAGGAGTTGTGGAGCGCATCAGCTGGGTCCAAATCCCAGCGCCACTAGACCCCAGGCCTCCGTTGGCTCCCCTGCGACGTGGGCCCCCAGAGAACCCACTCTCAAGGCTCAGCCTCTCCTGCCTGGGTGAAGGTGGCTTGATCGCAGGGGGGGGCAGCATGTATGTGTGCCAAGAGGGGTGTGCTGCGGTAATGTGTGCACAGGTGGAGGGGTGAGCAGGGGGTGTCGCTCCTCTGGACCAGCGCCCCCCACCCACCCCTGACCCCTGTGGTCTCGGCTACTCGGCACCAAGCTGTGTGCTGTCTCCTGGCACTGCATGAACTGCCCTGCTGGCGACCTTGCCCGGCTGTGAGGTCCCTGCGGAAGTGGAGCTCAGCAAGAATGCCGTTTCTGGGACTTAATGTTTCCTGGAGAAGCAAGCAGGCCTGCAGCCAGGTCTTTGGGGCTGACCTGGGGGCACGCAGTGGGGGTGGCGGATTGGGGCTCCCAGAGGTCTTGGGCTGGAGGCCACCGCCTCCTGCTCCTCCCCTCTCCCCTGCACATCCACACCCACATCTTGTCCAAACAGGGCTCAGGCCATGTGAGTGATTTGTAGGCAAGGGCCAGGGGGCAGTTCGCCGCACACAGACTCCCGGGCCTGTCCCAGTGGCAATTACAAGCCCAGACTGGCCCTGGCACTGAGGTTCCATCCTGCCCCTCCCCCGCTCCACTGGCTGTCTTTCCCGCTCCTTCCCTTGTTCACATGTCAGCCCCATAGTTTTCCCAGCTCCCAATTCCCAGTGGACACCCAGCCCTGCTGGCCCTAGTCACTCAGGGCCACGCCCTGGTGGGTCCACACTGTTTGAGGGTCACTTGACCGACCCTAACCCCAATCCTGCCCTTTCTGAACTGGCCGAAAGCCCAGGGGACAGGAGGAGGGAGCTCCTTGGGTAAGGTGACCAGATTTTAACATTGGTAAAGCGGGACACCATTGATAAAACTCATATCCTGGCAAAATTGCCACATGGCAGCCGAAAACCATATACCCTAGCTTGTGCATTCTTTCCAAAAATTGGGACTTTTTAAAAACGCCGCGGGATGCAGGAAAAATTGTTAAAACTCAGGACTGTCCCGCCAAAAGCGGGACGTCTGGTCACCTTATCCTTGGGGCTCATCCTGGGAGCCACATCTCCCTCCTCCCCACCTGACCCTGGAGCCACCTGTGGGGAGATGGCCAGCTGACACGCCCTTCTCTGCCCGACGGCCACACCCAGCCTTTGCGCCTACCCAGCCACTCAGCACCTACCCCACCCACGAGGAAGCAGGAAAGCTGGGGCCATTTGGGGGAAAACTGAGACCACATAGGTGTCAAGTCAAGGCCCACCCCCTCCTTAGGCCCCTTCTCTGCCCCTCTCCGCTCAGCCCCCTCCACCCTGCATCGTCATAGCAGCCCCACTGGCCCTGGTTAGGTCCTCATAACCGAGCCTACAGGAAGAGAGGTGCCCTGGTGGCGCAGTGGTTAGGTGTTGGGCAGTGGTTAGGTGCAAGGTCGGCAGTTCGAAACCACCAGCTGCTCCTCAGGAGAAAGCCGAGGCTTCCGGCTCCCGTAGAGTGACAGTCTCGGAAACCCACAGGGGCAGTTCTGCCCTCTCTTCTAGGGCCGCTAAGGGTCGAAATCCACTCAACGGCAGTGTGTTTTTTGATTTAGGGTTGAAGACGAAACACACAGGGTGGCCGTGGGTCAGCAGGGACTTGCAGGCGGTGCCTTAGGAGAGGAAGAAATCGCCCCCAAGCAGGTCACACAACCAAGAGCCAGGAAGGTGGGCTCCCAGGCCCAGCCACTCTGCTTCCCCCAGGACCGCCGCCCCAGAACCTGTCTCCACCCTTGTGTCTGTTCCGCCTCCCCCATATCCTGCCAAGGTGCCGTTCACACCTCTCACTGCTGGGCCCTGCAGCCTGGCTCCTGTCTGCACTTCAGGAACCTCTTGTCGCCTGGTCAGCTCCTCCTTCAGGGCTGGCCGCTGCCCCCGGCCAACCAGGCCCCACCTCAGTAGCCCTCCCGTCAGGACCCCTGGTTCTCAGACAGACAGACAGACAGACAGCTACAAGATAGGTGGGGAGGACTGAGGGAGCCCTGGGCCAGGCCCCGGTGGGCCAGGCCAGGTGGCCCGGGGTCTGGAGTGGCCCCAACAGAGCCTCGGAGGTGGAAAGCAGGCTGATTCCTGTGGGGGCCATATCGCCCTGGCGATTAGGATGTGTTGGCCGCTATTTAGGGTGCTGTAATATTCATGAAGCAAAGATTAGATATTTAAATTTATTCAGCAATAAATGCATCTCAGTGGGGGAGCATTCCTCATGCTAAACAAACAAGCAAGCAGGGGCTAATTAATTATTTACAGGAACACACGAGGGGGCAGCTGGGACGCGGCCAGAGGGCAGAGTACCCTGAAGGTGGGGCTTCTCCTTCACCCACTGTCCAGGGGGGCTGACCCCCTGTGTGGCCCTTCTCAGGGCTTCAATTCCTGGACAAGTCTGCCACAGTCGGGCTGGTTGCTTAGGGCGAGTCCCTTAGCCTCTCTGACCCACACAGGGTGGTAGGGAGGGCTGAAGCATTCTGGGTAGGGCCTGGGAAAGAGGAAATGCTGCTCCCCACTAGAAATGTGAGGAGACGGTAGCCAAAGGGATGAAGTGACCTGTCGTGACCCATGTCACTCTTCACCCCCCCACCCCCGATTCTGCAGTAATGAGGGATCATAGAGGCTCAGGGCAAAAAGTCACTCTGTCTACAGCCAGCTGTCCTGGGAAGCCTCACCCCCTGCCCTGGCTTTCCTGCCCCTTCCCACCCCACAAGCAGGGAAGTGGTGAGTGGGCGTGGCCATGGGCAGGGGTGGGGCCTTGTCCCCCCTCCCTCACATTCCTGAGTTCACTGGGGTGGAGGGGACCTGGCTCTGTGGGACAGCAGGTGGAAGCAGCTCTCAGAGGCACCACCCTGCACAGCCCGCCCCAGCTCCTCCACCTCCTCTCCATGCCTTGGTTTCCCCATGTACCACAGGCATTTAGGGAGAGACTTTATCCAGTTACCACCCCCTTTTACAGATGGAGAGACTGAGGCTCAGCCACCAAGTCTCCCCGGCGGAGCCCCCAGCCCCCTGCATGCTCTCGAGAGGGCCTCCTTTGCTGGAGACCCGCTGCCAGGCCTCTCTCCCCTCTTCCTGGGCAGAGCAGGGACAGGACTCAGGAGGGCCTGAGGGAGGGCAGAGAAGGGGCCCCAGGGACCACTCCCCACTTGGTGGTCCTTGCCGTGCTGGCCCTGAAGCTGGGAGCCCCACCACCACTCACCCCTTGGGGCTCCTCCAACATAGTCTTGGCTTTCCTATCAGAAGCTGGGCTCCTGAGCAGATGGAGAAACTCAGTCTGCAAGAAGGTACCAGCTGCCTCAGCTCTGCAGAGGGAAGACCTCGCCCACTAAACCTGATAAATGACCTCCATCCACCCCAGGGGCCGGGCCGGGTCACCTCCCACCCTCTGTCTCTCACCTGCCCCTTGTTGCCTCCCAGCCTCCAGCTGGGGCTCTGGCCACTCCTTTTCAACCACTCAGTCAACAAACCCGCTGGCCCCACTAGGTGCCAGGCTGGGCCCCACCTGCTGCGGCCCACCCTCCCCAGGCCTGGTATTGGGGGAGCCGGGCAGGTGGGCGCCCCAGGGAGAAGACGGATGGACAGCAGTGCCTTGATGTGATCTGAAATTCATTATGGGGTGAGATCAGCTCCTTAAATGGGGATTTGAAAACATTAGGGCTTCATTATGTACACATCGGCGGTGCCTCATTCATCATG